ATTTGTTGAAAATATTCAATAAAAAATGCAAAACTAATTTTATCGCGCATGATGTGATGAATTCTGAGACACTAGTATTTGCATAAGGCTAGCTAAGGGAACTACTGAACGATCAAGGGGTCTGGCATAGGGCATTTTTGATCGCCTTTTAACATTCCCGTGCACTTCTCTTGCAGATATACGATCAAACTGTCAAAAGTTGCTTACTTGACACATCTGTTTCATATTTGGATATTTTACTTGAAAAAGACGTTAATGGTAATCTAACAACCAAGTTTTATGATAAGCGTGATGACTTTAACTTTTCAATCGTCAACTTCCCTTACTTATGCAGCAATATACCTTCATCACCTGCATATGGGGTTTATATCTCTCAGTTGATTCGATACGCAAGAGCATGCTCTACGTATAAACAGTTTCTAAAACGAGGTAAGTTATGGACAAACAAGTTGATAAAACAAGAATATCAGCAGTTTCGTTTAAAGTCGTCATTTCGTAAGTTCTATGGTCGATACAATAACCTTGTCAGCAAATACAATTTATCATTAAGTCAAATGCTGACTGACTTTTTTCATACTAATTGTCAGGCCATTATTTACACATTGAATTGTCGACGGATTTTTCCGTTATTACCCGATCATGACAAGGAGCACACGGCGGTTGTGACCGGTCGGCAGGGGATGTTCACTCCTCCATGGCACCTGATCCAACCTCTGATGCTTTAGAAGTCCTTGTTTGCTCTGCTCCAAATTTTGTATTGTTTAATGGACTTTTGAGCTTGAATACTGTTCGTTATCTCCACACATTTCATTACTAATAATATGTGATCTAATAATCATCAACTGATGATGACAGGTCTATCTGATTGCATAAAAAATTTGTAAAACAAGTCAATTAATTTGATGTAAATCGATTATATACAAATTTATTTGCTTATCTTCTGATTTCGATAATTAAATTTGCTCGAATGACATGATACTTAGCCAATTAAACTGAGTTTTTCCTCGATTCCATCTACACTGGAGGAAATAATAAGGATAGACGCGAGTTACTATAATAACTAGTATTAATTGTAACGGGGACCGTTACAGATGTTCCCCAAACGCTCCCCAACTTCCTTTTGGTGTCTTATTCCCTGTAAGCTTCATTAAAGAAGGCAATCAAGTATGTTGGGTTTTTTTTTACGCATTACACGCGCGCACATGGGCATTCATGTACAAAATGACCATGTCAACTTCTCTACACTTTTAATACATCTTTATATTCAAATTTCATCAAAAGATTAAAAAAAAATCGGCTATATTAAGTATATTTCATTTTACGCATTGCTCGCGCGCGCACGTGCATGCATGTCCATGATGACCGTGTCATCTTGTCAACACTATTAATATATCTATATATTTTGAGTATCAAAGCATTTCATCAAAAAGTATAAAAGTTACAGCTATATCAAGTATATTGGTCATTTTAGCATTGCATGCGCGCGCACGTGCATGCATGTGCATGTTGACAATGTTGTCTTGTCTACATTTATAATATGTTTACATATTCTAAGTATCAAAGCATTACATCAAAAAATGTAAAAGTTATGGTTATATCAAGTATATTGGTAATTTTACTCATTGCACGCGTACGCACGTGTATGCATGTGTGCGCTGACCATGTCATCTTGTCTACACTTCTAATATATATTTATATTATGAGTTTCAAAGCAATTCATCAAAAATGTACAAGTTAAGTCTATTTCAATTGTATTGGTTATTTCAATCATTGCGCACGCGCGCACGTTCATGCATGTGCATGCTGACCATGTCATGTACACTATTAATATATCCTTATATTCTGAGTATCAAAGTATTTCATCAAAAGATATGAAAGTTTTGGCTATACCAAGTATATTAGTCATTTTACTTATTGCACGCGCACGCACGTGCATGCATGTGTGCGCTGATCATGTCATCTTGTGTACACTTCTAATATGTATTTATATTCTGAGTTTCAAAGCAATTCATCAAAACATGTACAAGTTAAGTCTATTTCAATTGTATTGGTTATTTCAACCAATGCGCATGCGCGCATGTGCATTCTGACCATCTCATCTTGTCTACACTATTGTTATATTCTTATATTCTGAGTATCAAAGTATTTCATCAAAAAATATGAAAATTATGGCTATATCAAGTATATTGGTCATTTTACTCATTGCACGCGCACGCAGTGACTAGAGAAAGTAAAACAAGTGTGGTTAAAAAGAAAGTAAAACAACAGTGACTAGGGGCGCGCTTGATTTACTTACACCGCTTACACCGTGAACACCTTTTTTAATCAAGTGCAGAGGTGTAAACTTTTGGTGTACACTCGGTGTACACTTTCTTACACCAAATTTAGGGCATGTGTTGAAAGGTGTACACTGAATCCAATATGGTGGAGAATGGTACGATTGAAAATTTAAGATATGGTTTCATGTAATATAAAGGGTAAGAAATCACACTCAAGTTGTCTTTTGTGTGTAAGTGATGACATTGAAATCATTTTTTGACCATTTTGAATAATTAATTCAATTATTAATGTTTTTTTATTTTTTTTTTTCACTTTATACAAAAAAATTTAGCCACACACTGGCGAGATGCAAAACATATACTACACCATATACTCTATACACCTCGTAAAATGCACTTGATTATACACCATCATCTTTCACACTGGTGTTCACTGGTGTATACACCAAGTTAAGCTAAATCAAGCACGCCCTAGAGAAAGAAAAACAAGAGTGATTAAAAGGAAAGTAAAACAACAATGACAAGAGAAAGTAAAACAAGAGTGGTTAAAAAGAAAGTAAAACAACAGTGATAAAAAAGAAAGTAAAACAACAGTGACTAGAGAAAGTAAAACTAGAGTGGTTCAACAGAAAGTAAAACAAGAGTGGTTAAAAGAAAATAAAACAAAAGTGGTTAAAAAGAAAGTAAAACAAAAGTGGTTAAAAAGAAAGTAAAACAAGTGTGGTTAAAAAAAAGTAAAACAACAGTGACTAGAGAAAGTAAAACAAGAGTGGTTAAAAAGAAAGTAAAACAAGAGTGATTAAGGAAAGTAAAACAAGAGTAATTAAAGGAGGAAAAGGCAAGAGTTAAGAAACGAAATGAAAAAGAGAGATAAGAAAATGAATTATTATTAAAGAAAGTTAAACACGAGTAAAATTGTACGTCTCGTAAACATTTGTAGTATCTCTCTGTAATATAAATATGCAGAGAGTAAATTCACTTCACATCATGTATGAAGTTTTCAATTGGGTAAAAGATCATAACGTGGCCATATCACACGGCGAAATTATATCTACATCTACCAGCCTACCCGCCGTATTTCCTGTGTCTTTTCGTCCAGCAAATCAATCAGACATTAATCCTTCTATTATTATTTGATCATAAAATAGTCTTCACAAAATATTCGCTTCACAATTGAGCCCTCTAATTTTCGAAGTGTAACCGCTTTCAAAACTGATTTACACCTTGCGCCGTTTCGTCATAATCTACGATGGGCAGTTACTGCGATATCTGTATACAAATGTCTGTTTCAAATGCTTTATTAAATACAAATTTAAATCCTTCACTGGGATGAAGTGGGTTTGTACGTGCCTTAACCTGATGAGAAGCCCTTCGGGATTCACATGATTTGATGATGTGACCAACCCACTTCATTTACCAGTATATGTTATCTCTCGTTATTTATTTCTTAAGTAAAAAAAAGTAAAACAAGAGTAAGGCCTTTTTTTTTTAGCTTTTCAAGACTTTTTCGCAAAATATCGGGTCGTCAACGTTGGTAAAAATTTTTTAAAAAAAACAAGATGTGTTCGTGAAATACTGATGCCCCCAAATGATAGCTCATAGAGAAGGTTAAAGTTTTTCAAAAGTAGATCAAACTCCAAGGTCAAGGTGTCAAAACTGTTAGTACCCCCCAAAGGTCTTGTCACAGGAAATACACATATGAAATATTAAAGCCATAGCACCAACCGTTCAAAATATTTGGACAAGGTTAAAGTCTTTCAAAAGTAGGTCAAACCCAAGGTCGAGGTCAAAGGGTAAAAGTTGTTGGTACCCAAAGGAAGGTCTCGTCACAAGGAAAACACCTATTAAATATGAAAGCCCTAGAACCAACTGTTCAAAAGTTATGGGCAAGGTTAAAGATTTTTTAAGTGAATCAAACTCCAAGGTCAAGGTAAAAAATATTTGTACCAAAGGACTTATCACAAGAAATACACAAGTAAAGTATGAAAGTCCTAGCACTAACCGTTCTAAACTTATGGCCAAGGTTAAAGTTTGGTAAAATTTTGAAAAAAGTGGGTCAAACTCCAAGATCAAAATGTCAAATATATTGGTACTCAAAGAAAGTTCTTGTCACAGTAAATACGAATGTGAAATATGAAAGCCATAGCTCCAACCAAGCAAAAAATTTGGGCAAGGTTATGGTTTGTGCGGACAAAGAGACAGACAGACAGATGGAGCAAAAACTATATGCCCCCAAATCTTTGATTTCGGGGGTAGAAAAATCTGTAATTAGCCTCCTCCTTCTCTCCCCTAAAAATTTTAAAATTGCATACCAGTTAACAGTATAATTTGGAAGCCATAGTTCTTTAACGTCCATTTATTGGATATATCAAAAGCTAAGTATAATCCAAAGATGTAAACTTTTTAATAATTTCCAAAAAAGGGTTATTGAATTTTTTTTCAAAATTTTCTTTTTGTCAGTATCATAAAAAATGTGGGTGTGTCTTGAAATACAACTAATTAAAAGGTTAGCCTTATATTAGTTTTTAAAAATGTAAAACAAGATTTGGTAAAGAAAGTGAAAGGAAAGTTAGTAAAGGGAGTAAAACGAAAGGTAATATGAAAGAGAGTGGAAATCTAGTGAAGGGGTTAATAATGCAAGAATATTCCGGATGGAGTAATACGAAACTTATACTTAGTATTCAATGGTTTAACATTTTATTGCATTTTTTTTCTTTTCAGAGTGTCATATTCCACGTAGAGACTCATCCCAAACACAAGACGTTTACACAATGCGTGACGTTTAACTTTTTCCCGTCAGATAATCACGAGCTGGCCTATAATCTGTTTAACCTGATCACTCTGTACGCCTTGCCGTTACTCATCATTACCACGTCCTACTCTCTCATTCTCTGGGAAATTTCTAAAAAGACTAAACAGTGCAAAGGTAAGATGGGAAACCTCAAAAAAGACTAAACAGTGCAAAGGTAAGATGGAAATCTCAAAAAAGACTAAACAATGCAAAGGTAAGATGGGAAATCTCAAAAAAGACTAAACAATGCAAAGGTAAGATGGGAAATCTCAAAAAAGACTAAACAGTGCAAAGGTAAGATTCAGCAAGGATATTTTCAAAGAATCGCGGCTTTTGTACAGACAAACCTGATAAACCCACATTAGCTGTAGACAAACATAAAAAAGAAATCGTGTTAATAACACTTAGTTTTTTATGTGTTCAGAAGTCTTTTCATGAAATGTTTGGAGATAACTGACAGTATTCAAGCTCAAAAGTCCATTAAACAATACAAATTTTGGAGCAGAGCAAACATGGATCTCTAAAACATCAGAGGTGGGATCAGGTGTCTTATGTAAAATAAAATGAATAAAAATGTCGTTAACAGTTGGTCATTTTCGTGTTTTGTGATCTTAAAGTGATTGTTTACTCAGTAGACTTGCAAAAAGAACTTTGCAATTCGAAACTTCAGGGATCAAATTAAGATCTGAACCTGCTATAGAGTTAATAACTTGAACTAGAACATCTACATATATTTTTTTTTTCCAATAATTAAAGAGATGATAATTACTGTGATTTTTGACAAGAGATTGTTTCTTTTTTCCAAAAAGGCTTTGATATGCAATTATTTAGGTAATTATTTAAGAATTGGCGCACTCTGAAAATAAGAATTTCTTGAAGAATTTTGTAGCGTTTTTAAAACAAATCTGTAAAATGTGCACATGTCTATGTAAACCTTAAGGACACGTGATACGTAAAGAAAGTGAAATTAGAGTGATTAAAGAAAGTAAAGCAAGAGAAATTAAAGCAGTTCATAAAGCTGTTTCATTGCTTAAACACGTTTGTTACAAAGTTTCCCTTTAAAAACACCTTTACATATAAATATATATAGAATAAAATGTAAAGGTAGCGAACAGTAATCATGTTAAGTCAAATAAAACAAAACACGGACCTAAGAAAACATCAGAGGTCGGATCAGGAGCCATGAAGGAGTTATCATCCCCTTGACAACCGGTCTCGCTCCAAGTCCTCCTTGTCATGATCGGGTAAACAGAAAAATCCATAGACAAATCATTACGAAAATAATGGTCTTACAATTTGTGTAAAAGACATCAGTCACCATTCGACCTAACGACAAAATGTGTTTGCAAACAAGATCATTGTACATATCGACCATAGAATTTGCGAAATGTTAACTTTAAACAAGATGGTTGAAAAACTTGTAACATCAACTTATTTGTCAGTAGCCTGTTTTGTTTTAGAGTTTGTTCGTACAGAGAACATGCTCTTGCATATCAAATCAATTTAGAGACATAAACCCCATATGCAGGTGATAATTGTTCATTGCAACATAAATAAGATAAGTTGACAATAGAAAAGTAAAAGTCATGACGTTTATCAAAAAGTGTAGTTGTTAATTTGCTATCAATGTCTTTCTATAGAAAAACATTCAAACTGAAAATAAATTAAGGCATCAGATAAAGTGGGACTTCTTTGAATGTGCTGGATTCCCTAATATGTTATCATACAACACTGTAAATCTTTCATATATGATATACAGGAAATCTATAAGGATATTTTAAGGAATTTCAATTGTTGATGTTTTTGCATTGAAATTCAATCTAGATATAAAAGTAGAGATTTGGAGAGGAATAAGTGAGGATGGCTACAAAGTTAAATTTCATAATAAATATGTGTTTTAGTAACGATTAAAGTCTTTAAAAACTGATTTAACTAATTTCAGTTACATATCTTTTAGTATCCCAAGTCCTTAAATTGAAAAAAAAAATTCAAGTTTTTCAGACTTTAATCAAACGTATCTTTTACTGACGAGAAAAACTACCAAAATCAATACCAGTCCTGTCTAAAAAAAAAGTTATCCATCTTTCCAGATTATTTTATTCCGTAAGAATCCCCATGATTCATCTTTATTTTAATTTGCTATTCATTCACGACTCTTAAAACAAATTAAAGGACAGATCCCTAAGCTTTAACGCCTACAGCAGATTTATTAGGTAGGCTTGCGCGTTTACCAGTAATAAGTGAAGGCAGTTGTTCTGTGTTTGTTCACTTGAAAATAATGCCACATAAAATTTATGTTTATGTGAAAAAGCATGTACACTGCAGAAGTACAACCGGTATTACCGATTTAATACGCAGACATTGCAAAATTCCTTTTATCCTTAAAAAAGCTCACAAGATTTACGACTTTGACATTTACACTTTCCTATTTCTGCTATTTTGTCAAGTTGTTTTAATATGTTTGTAGTCATAAGTTTATGACCCGAATTCATTTGTACTTGATTTTTTAAAGAATTTTATGTGTAGAACATTTTAAATATGTAGGGCAGGTTGTAGTTTATTACAGAATGCTTGTAAAAGTTAAGAAGAACCTATGAATCAGTGTACAAGCAATGTAGTTTATAGATTCTATTTCACATCAGTGTGCTACAAATGTCTCTTGATTTATAAATTATGAATCAGTGGACAGTTCCCTTTGTTTATAAATTCTTTTTTCAGAATAAGTGGATTGTCCCTAATTTTTTTTCTAGATTCTGAAATAGTAAACTGTCCTGGCCTCTTTTTTTTTTAGTTTTTCGATTTTGTACTTCGATGCAATACTTTAACATTTCCAAAAGTAGGGCCGCTTGGTAGTTGATAAACCGGGAGCATAGGCAGCAAGGACCATATTTTAATTCATATAAACCAGTAGCAAAGGCAACAAGGACCATATTCTAATTCATATAAACCAGTAGCAAAGGCAGCAAGGACCATATTCTACTTCATATAAATCATTAGCATAGGCAGCAAGGACCATATTCTGATTCATATAAATCAGTAGCATAGACAGTAAGGACCATATTCTAATTCATATAAACCAGTAGCAAGGGAAGCAAGGACCATATTCTGATTCATATAAATCAGTAGCATAGGCAGCAAGGACCATATTCTAATTCATATAAACTAGTAGCATGGGCAGCAAGGACCATATTCTAATTCATATAAACCAGTAGCATGGGCAACAAGGACCATATTCTGATTCATATAAATCAGTAGCATAGGCAGCAAGGACCATATTCTAATTCATATAAACTAGTAGCAAGGGCAGCAAGGACCATATTCTAATTCATATAAACCAGTAGCAAGGGCAGCAAGGACCATATTCTGATTCATATAAATCAGTAGCATAGACAGTAAGGACCATAGTCTAATTCATATAAACCAGTAGCAAGGGCAGCAAGGACCATATTCTAATTCATATAAATCAGTAGCAAAGGCAGCAAGGACCATATTCTAATTCATGTAAACCAGTAGCATGGGCAACAAGGACCATATTCTAATTCATGTAAATCAGTAGCAAAGGCAGCAAGGACCATATTCTGATTTATATAAACCAGTAGCAAAGGCAGCAAGGACCATATTCAAATTCATGTAAACCAGTAGCATGGGCAACAAGGACCATGTTCTAATTTATATAAACCAGTAGCATAGGCAGCAAGGGCCATATTCTGATTCATATAAACCAGTAGAAAAGGCAGCAAGGACCATATTCTGATTCATATAAATCAGTAGCAAAGGCGGCAAGGACCATATTCTGATTCATATAAATCAGTAGCATAGGCAGCAAGGGCCATATTCTAATTCATATACACTAGTAGCAAAAGCAGCAAGGACCATATTCTGATTCATATAAATCAGTAGCAAAGGCGGCAAGGACCATATTCTGATTCATATAAATCAGTAGCATAGGCAGCAAGGGCCATATTCTAATTCATATAAACTAGTAGCAAAAGCAGCAAGGACCATATTCTGATTCATATAAATCAGTAGCATAGGCAGCAAGGACCATATTCTAATTCATATAAACCAGTAGCAAAGGCAGCAAGGACCATATTCTGATTCCTGTTCTCATAAGTAAATAAATCAGGTACATTAGATATCGAGTCTTGAGTTAATTTTCACCACTCGCGTTTATCCAATTATTTCTATTTTTACATTATAATCGTATAAGTCCTGTTGAATATTCTGATAATTACCGTTTCCAAACATCTTTCTTGGCAAAGGGCACAATCCTTCCATAATTATCTAAGAAGGCACACTTATAATTTCTCTGTTAAACACTGCTGGTGTCATGGAGATTCTTAGTTAAGCCTCTGGGTTTTATCTTCTTCATTAGCAATGCACAGGAAGTTGCTATTTCGTGAAATAAATCGAAATAAGTTGATCTGTTACACAATAGGTATCATGACTAATGATAGAGAATGACGTCTCCAGGCCCCTCTAAACGTGCAGGCTGGTGTCTGTAGATTTTAATTTGCCACAACATTGGTTGAACTTGCAAGAAATAATTCAGTGGGTTTTTTTTATATTCTTTACTCTCGTTTGTACAAAGGTAGTTATTTTTTAGGGGAAGGAATGGTCATGTTTTTAATCATGAACGAATCATTTTTTTCAGAAGAGACAAAGTGCCTTTCAACTCGCTCGCGCCTGCGCCGCTCTTCGGTTGGGAACATGGAGAGAGCCCGGATACGAACCTTGAAAATGACTCTCGTCATAGGTAATAAGAGCTGAAAAATTCCCGCAAATCTTAAATTAAAAGAAAAATCATCACCAGTTCCATATGTCAGACTTAATCTAAAGATTAATCATGAAAGGAATATTGATAAAAAAAAATGTATAACTCTTTATAAAAAACATCACTCGGAACTGGAAATAGTAAATGGAGAATTGAGTTTTGTCCTGGCGTAAAGGATGCATATGCATTGACGAAGTCTAACATTGATGTATCTTTGTAAGGAAACATGAACTATATAGAAATATTAACCAAAATATTTTTGCAAAATGTATAATTGTCAGCAAACGGGAAACTATGTATACATCCGATCTTGTAAAGTAGACTTTCCCCTCAACCCCCCCCCCCCCCCCGGAAAACTTGCCCTAGAGTAGGATTTCACTCAAGGAAAAATAGAGTAGGATTTCCCCTACGGCGATTTCATCCACTGTAAGCTCATTTTTTCAGTAACTGCACAACCAATTCTTTTAGAGCATTAAAGTCTCATTCTTTTCTCAGGGGCCGCGAAATTCACAATTTTCGAAGAGGCATACTTGCTCATCATAGATATGCACTTACATGTAGTTTGCTTGCTATATACCCAGGAAAGAAAAGAAGATTTTCAAAGAAATAAAGCATTTTCACTACATGTTTATTATCAATAGAACCCCCCTGAACCCATGACCCAGGGACCATGAAATTTCACAATTTTGAAAGAGGCACCCTTGCTCATTATAACCATGCACTTAGTTTATATGACAATGCCCAGGGAGCAGAGAAGACGGTTTTTCATAGAATTAATGCATTTTCACTATATAATCAATAGAGACCAGTCCTCACACCAGAATCTCGGACCTAGGGGCCATGAAATTCACAGTTTTAGAAGAGGCACATTTGCTCATCATAATTACGCACTTAGTTTGTTTTCTTAATACTTAGGAGAGGAGAAGATTTTTCCAGAAGTAATGCAGTTTCACTACATAAGTAATACATTTTATTGATCCTAGGGCCACAAATTTCACAAATTTGGAAGAAGCACCCTTGCTCAACATACCATGCACTTAGTTTATCTGTTGTTTATACAGGGGAAGAGAGGATTTTTTTTTTTAAGAATTTATGCATTTTCATTATATGATCATCAGAGGAAGCCCTACCCTAACTCCAGAACCCCTGACCCTGGGGCCATGAATTTCACAATGTTAGCAGAGGGCTCAGAAAATTGTAATGTAACAAGCAAATATCTGTAATGTACCAAGCAAATATCTGTAATATAATGTAACGGTGTTGTTGTGTATCTTTTATGAGTTCGAAAATAATCTTTTTGTGTAAATGAAGTATAATTTTCCTCAGTCACTGATTGGTTATATATATATATATATATATATATATATATATATATATATATATATATATATATATATATATATATATATATATATATATATATATATATATATATATATATATATTTATTTATTTATTTATTTATTTATTTATTTATTTATTTGAATGCCCCTACCTTGGGTAAAATCAAGAAGTGTACTTAAATGAATAATAATTGGAAGACTTTAAGAATGTAAATAATATGTTTCTTTCCTTAACATGGGCAACTAGTTTATCTGATTAACATACTTTTTCCTCCAGTCAGTGTATTTGTGATTTGCTGGACACCATACTTCGTCCTCTCGACTTGGTGGTGGTTCGACAGGTGAGTTGATTGACATACTCCAGAATCGCAGATTTATATAACATGAGAGAATACGAATTTGGATTAACCTCTACTTCAGAATCGCAGATTTGCATACGAACTTGGATGACCGCCTACTTTTAAGAAACTGATGACGTCAAGAAGTCTAGCTTCTGCACTGAAGCTGACAATAATTATTTCTAAAACAACTCTTTCTAGATTATAAATCGCTTTCAAAGTTTTGTTGTTTGTTTGTTTGTTTTCGTCTTATATGAAATTAAAAAAAAAATTAAAATGAAAACCAATATCCCCACAACATCAAGGACGCAGAATATTTTTTTTTATTTTAGAATCTACTGGCAGCGACAGTTGCATTTTTAATTTAAAAGACATATTCTCTTAAAGAATTGTTCGCGGTAACGCAGAAATTTTACCATGGAAAAAGCAATCATATCTATTTTTGCATCTTCTTGTTTCTCTTGAGACCAGAATATGAATAATCTAGTTAGTGTTGATGAATGAAGTTCCCGGTGGAAATGTTTGTAATCTCTTGTTCTGAATATCGGACCATTGTCACTTTCCGAACATCAACCGGTCCAATCCGTCTATAATAATAAGATGCACGGCGCTAAACACATTAGCTTGTTTGTCGGATTTTCTTCGATTTTTCAAACGAGTTGTCTAGCATTGACACTTTTCATCTAATTTAGTCAAATGACAGTGCTTCAACTTTGACATAGATTTATTGTTTGTTTTGTAGGGAGTCTGCAAGTCAATTGGATCCCAAAGTTCAGAGAGGCCTTTTCTTGTTTGCCGTGTCCAATTCCTGCATGGATCCTATTGTATATGGTACGAAATGTGTATTAATCTATTAGGGAAAATGATCGCGGAGTAAAAAATTATTTATTTTTCAATAACGACTATTGATTTGTCCTCAGTGATAAAGCCATTGCAATCCTGTTGTGCATAATTGTTCCCTTCCAACAAATATTAGTATTTTCCTGTTACAGAATCAATCTTTGGTTATTTAAGAAATAGCTGTCCAGTTTTGAGGGGTCGGGGTATATTTTGTAGCATATAACAACGATGTGCTACGATGTATATTTAATCCCCCGAGCTAGATGTTATATTTATATAGATGGTGTATGTCTCCGCTTTAGTAAATGCATAATGACAACAGTCCACTCGACGTACCTAAGTTAGAATTTTCCCTCACAGCACTTTAAAAAAACTTATTTTTACCTAAACCTATATGCTGGGGTCCACTTAAAGTTGTATTTTCCAACTGAATATTTATTTTAAAACAACTTACAAAAGTAATATACCTTACAAATAAAAAAAAATCTGACAATTTTCCTGAAAATTTTCCCAAACATTGAAAGCCATCAATAGTAACTTTTTTCTTTTCTCCTTTGGACTCATTTATTTTTCAATTATTAAATTGATGCCATTTTCTTTCCTTAACCCGTTGCAGTTTTAGTGAATCTAAATATCCGTATATTGTAGGAATGTTCACTACCACCTTCCGCCGGGAAGCTCAAAAATGGGGGCGGTGGCTATAGCAACTGTTTAATAAAGAACCTTCTCCCTCCAAACAATCGGATGAGATCTTCTTCAATCTTCTATGCTTCTTCCTCTAGGTATGTTTACCATTAACTTCAAAAGGGAGTTTGTTCGATGCTGTTGTTGCCTGAAATCTACCTGGAAACGTCACAAGCTTCAGCGACTTACCGGAAAATTTCAGACGTCCACAGGGGTACAGCGGGGTCCTATCTCCCACACATTGTCCAACAACTCTAACCGTTCCCTCCAGGGTACCAACGTCGTCAAGTTCTTTGATGATCCTGCCGGATGCAGGAATAACGGAAGCTCTAACGTGTCACGTGACTTAAAACTGACAAACAGTGTAAGCAACCGAGCCAATGTGAATAACTTTATGACAGTTAACCTTCCCATCATGCAGCAGATAGTTACAAACGACGAACAGTAAAAGCACTGTGACGAAGCGTGCATTTCATGTTCAATAAGCAATTCATATTAAAAAGAACTTTTCTGTCTTTGCATTTATGTAGTCATTAAAATTAAGATCTTTATGTGACTTTAAAGATATGGTTTACTGATTTGTCAGGCTTGACCTACAATTCATAGAAGATGCTGTAAGAGTCTAGTATGATTATATAGACGTTAGCTTAGCTAATCCATATTGATCCCAAACTATATTTATGTGTTCCAATTTAAGCAGCTCTTTGACAGTTAATGCCATTGAAAACTGTAAGTAGAACAAGGGAAAATAATTCACATCAAGAATTCAAGGGGTTTTTTTTAATAACGGAGACAGATTGTGGATAATTTTGTACAGTGGTGTAACCATTTCAAGGGAATTCAGCACTTTTTATTAATTTTACCTTCGAAGGTATGTGTATGAAGTGATAGTCGACATGGAAACACGTGATAAGCGACGTGCTGCCTTTTATCTTCCTCAGTCATACTTGTCCCCCGCTTTTGCGAAAGCGAGGGAACATAAAATCTCATTCGTCTATCAGTCTGTCCGTCTGTCACAAAAACTTTTATCATAAATTTTAAATTAGAAGAGATAGGGCTTTCATATTTCACGTGTACATTGGGTTTTTGACCCCTTGACCTTGAAGTTTGACCTACTTTTAAAAAAAAATTGACATTACTTTAAATTGATCATAACTTTTGAATGAGAAAAGATATGGCTTTCATATTACACATGTATGTTACCTGTGACAAGACCTTTCCAAATATGCTATAATTTTTGACCCTGTGACCTTGACGTTTGACCTACTTTATAAATTTTTTTATCTTTTCTTATAAATTTTGATCGAGAAGAGATAGCCTTTCATATTTCAAATGTGTATTACCTGTGACAAGATCTTTCCAAATATACCATGATTTTTTTTTACCTCGTGACCTTGACCTTCGACCTACATTTCCAAAATTTAACATTACTTTAAATTGATCATAAAATTTGAATGAGAAAAGATATGGCTTTCACATTTGACACGTGCATTACCTGTGACAAGATGTTTCCGAGCATGCTATGATTTTGATTTGACCTAATTTAATTTCAAAATTTTTAACTTTGAAAGACATATGATAGGGAGTTCATATTTGACAAGTGCATTACCTGTGTCAAAATGTTTCCGAATGTGCTATGATATTTGACCCCGTAACTTTGACCTTCAAGTTTTACCTAATTTTCAAACATTTTATCAGTGTTGCTAACTTTTGAAGGAGCGAAGACAGGGCATTATTTTGCACATGCATAACCTGTGACAAGCATTTCAAAATGTAATATGATTTTTAACCCTATGACCTTGACCTTAAAATTTGACCTAATTTTCCAAAATTTTAGCATTGCTGATAACATAAGATTGAGAGAAGATAGCTATGGCATTTACATTTGACATATGCATTACCTGTTTCAAGGCCTTTCCGATTATATACTCTGGTTTTTGATATTTTTTCACATGTACATTACTTCTGACAAGACCTTCCGGATTGTATTATGATACTACTTTTCTTTGTTACCTTGATATTATATTGAAGTTTGATGTAGATTTCAGAAGGTATAATTTTGCCATAATTGTTATTAATTCAATAATTTATGGGGTTTTGTATGATGCACAGACAAGACAGGACACACAAACAAGACAGTTACAATGTGCCATAAATAATGGCATCCCATCCACTAAGACACTTAAAGCGGGGAACCAAAATTCTTTGAATTTTGCTTGTTCATACTTAAAATTCATATTTACATTTTGATCTCAAAATTCTATGTTAATTTCTTTAACAAAACTTCAATACAATCACGTAGTATCGGGGAGGGGCGCCCCCTTTTTCCAAACGTAACTTTTTACTGTTGAAAATGTACACTGAAACTGAAAAGCTGAACCCCCCCCCCCCCCCACACACACACACACTTTTTGTTGCAGTATAATTAAATTATGGTAATGATTTAATGGTTTAATAATGTTTGTGAAAAAAACTTCGAACATAACCACCCCCCCCCCTACACAAACACGAAATAGAAATAGAATTTTGGAGTTTGGACAATTTCCGGGTTTTTTTTCCTTATTAGATCCTATCTGGATAATGATTAGTTTACAAAAATATTAACTCAATATAATCAAAGAATCAACTATAATAAATCACACCAAAATGTCAACATCACCTATTCCTGAATCTGCAGACTGAGTGGACTAACGAACAATTCTCCTAACAATTCTATTGTTTCTATAATTCACTGTAAAAAACGTGTTAACATGATAGACACATTTCTAATCACATTCTTGGTACTCTTTTTTTTATGCGTTTAAATTCTTCTAGGTATGTTCAATTTCATTACGCGTAATAAAAAGAGTTTTGAATGTTTATACATGTAATTCTGAAAACTATTAGATTCCCTTTTAGAAGTATAACATGTACACTTAAATGTTTTAAATATCGATCTGCAAGAAAACTGAAAATATGTTCCAGTAAATGTTCCACCAAGCCTCTTTCTTTACTCCTCACTAAGATATTAACAGTAGTGAAGGAGAAACTTCAAGAGTACTGTACAACAATATATTTGAGAAGTGGTGTAAATCAGATGTGGATACTAAAAAATCAAAGGAACTTTTGGAACATTTGAAATCACAAATTTTACCAAAATTAACAACATAAAAGCTTACGACTTTTCAACTTTATATACAACTATCCCCCATATTTGCAAAATTACTTTGTCAAAAAACAATCTGATTGTAAACATAAGTACTCTGAAGTTGACATTAAAAAGATGCTCGAGTTTCTGATTGACAATATCTATGTGGTTTTGGTTGACCAGGTCTTCCAACAATCTATTGGAATTCCCAGGGGTACCAATTGCGCCCCGTTATTAGCAGACCTATTTTTGTATTTATATGAAGCAGGATTTGTTCAAAATCTTTTACGAGATAAGAAGAAAACACTTGCTGTGGCCTTCAACTCGACATTTAGATATATCGACGACGTATTGTCAATTAACAATGATTATTTCCATTTTTATGTCGACACGATATATCCCGCTTAGCTTGAGATAAAAGATAACACAGAGTCTGACACATCTGTTTCATATTTGGATATTTTATTAGAAAAAGAAGTTAATGGTAATCTAACAAAAAAGCTTTATGATAAACGTGATGATTTTAACTTTTCAATCGTCAACTTCCCTTACCTATGCAGCAATATATACCCTTATCACCTGCATACGGAGTTTATATCTTTCAGTTGATTCGATACGCCAGAGCATGCTCTACGTATAAACAATTTCTCAAACGAGGTAAGTTTTTGACAAACAAGTTGATGAAACAAGAATATCAGCAGTCTCGTTTAAAGTCATCATTTCGTAAGTTCTATGGTCGATACAATGACCTAGTCAGCAAATATAATCTATCATTAAATCAAATGCCGATTGACTTTTTTCATACTAATTGTTAGGCCATTATTTACACACTGAATTGTCGACGGATTTTTCCGTTATTTTCGAGTTATCATGACAAGGAGCACACGGCATGTGTGACCGGTCGGCAGGGGATGCTCACTCCTCCATGGCACCTGATCCCACCTTTGATGTCTTAGAGGTCTGTGTTTGCTCTGCTCCTATTTTGTAGTGTTAAGTGGAATTTTGAGCTCGAATACTGTTCGTTATCTCCACATATTTCATGTTTCCATTTTGATCTATTTACTTGTACATATTAAGCTGCACTTCATTCATATTTGTATTAATCGAATATTCCGTTACTACTGAGTACTATTAGTACATTTAAAAAAATAATCAAGTTGGCAGTATGCCAGAAACAGCTTTAATGTACATTTAATGTGATAACGTGTACAATTTTACTTTATGAACAATGAATAAAACATATTGTCTGAAGCAAAGAAAAATATACAAAACAAAATGTGTTTGTGAAACACTGATGCCCCCGTATGGCAACTTATAGCGAAGGTTAAACTTTTTCAAATGCAAATCAAATATGTTGGTACCAAAAGTAAGGTCTTGTCCCGAGGAATATACCTGTGAAATATGAAATCCCTAGAAACAACAATTCAAAAGATATTGCAAAGGTTAAAGTTTTTCAAAAGTAAGTCATACATCAAGGTCAAAGGGTCAAAGTTGTTGATATCCAAAGTAAGGTCCTGTCACAAGGATTACATATGTGAAATATGAAAGCCCTAGCACCGACTGTTCAAAAGTTATGGCCAAGGTTAAAGTTTTTCAAAAGTAGGTCAAACTCCAAGGTCAAGGTAAATGGGCTACAATTGTTGGTATCTAAAGTAAGGTCTTGTCACAAGGAATACACATGTGAAAAATGAAAGCCCTAACCCCAACCGTTCAAAAGTTATGGCCAAGGTCAAAGTTTTCCAAAAGTAGGTCAAATTCAAAAGTCAAGGTCAAAGTTGTTGGTCTTGTCACAAGGATAACACATGTGAAAATTGAAAGCCCTCAGACCAACCTTTCAAAAGTTATGGCCAAGGTTATTTTTTTCCAAAAGAAGGTCAAACTCCTAGGTCAAGGTCAAAGGGTCAAATGTTTTGGTATCCAAAGGAAATTCTTGTCACAAGGATTACACATGTGAAGTATGAAAGCCCTAGCACCAACTGTTCAAAAGTTATGGCAAAGGTTAAAGCAGGGTAAATTTTGTAAAACTAACTCCAAGGTCAAAAGGTCAAATCTGATGGTACCCAAAAAAAAGGTCTTGTCACAAGGAATTCACTTGTGAAATATAAAAGCCATAGCTCCAACTACTCAAAAGTTATGAGCAATGTTTAAGTTTTTGCGGACAAACAGCTAAACAGACAGACGGACGGACAGGGCATAAACTATATACCCTCGAATCTTCGATACGGGGGCATAAAAAGTAACAAAACACTATTATTACAGTTTGTGTGTTTGTTGTTTAACGTCCCTCTCGAGAATTTTTTACTTACATAGAGACGTTACCACTTGCCGGTGAAGAGCTGCAAATTTTGATCTATA